AGATACAAAATTAGAGGAGGGTCCAATCGCCCCCCCCCCGCCCCCATCATCTTCCTCATTTCATCCTGTATCAATGTGTCTAGTTTGGTGCTGATTGATCAAAAAATGTGGAAACTTATATGGTACACATACACATTGACGTTTATTTATATAGATGTAGACACCTCTTCTCTACTAGTCAAACTCTGGCTGCAGGAGGAGGTACAAGTGGCATGAGTCATGTATATGAGGGATGACCTGCACTACACTAACAACATCACCACTGTCTCACTTTTCACCATATTGGTTTTCCTTTGTCTCAGCCCAGCAGTTAAGTTCAAACACTGAGGGTTCTCCATGGAATTAGGAACTGTTAAGTGGTAAGGATCTCCCGTGCTTCACTTAAGGAAGGGAAGGAGAATTCGTGTAGAGGCAACCCAGATCTCCTTCAGTATGGAAAAGTCTTTTACTGGGGAAAATGCAATGAGTGACTACAAAACATCATTTTGAAAAGCCAGTAAGCATGAGCAACAGCAGTGGACAGAACATTTCCCTGGATCTAGTTTTTTCCATGATAAGACTATGGAATAGATACAGTCTGCATCAGACAATATACAGATGTATTAATATATACCACCAGGTTAGCTCAAGTGGTCTTGTAGAGCATTTTATTTCAAATTGGGCACAGGTAGAACAGGGTGGATGATACGTTATCTTTCCGTTATCCTGTTTCCATGTAGACATCGAATTTCGATAAGTATACCCTGGGAGGCAACACCACCCATCTGGTAAGATCCTACGAAGTAAAAGAGAGCTATGAAGAAAAAACATATGCACTCATATGTCTATAAATAGTGTGCAGACTGGAGACCATTAGGAAATCAGACAGCTAGGTGGTGAAGATAGTGGCCAATGAATGTGTGTGGGGTAGTCCACATGCCAGCCTGAAATCTTTTATTCAACGATCAGCAAAAATGTGAAGCAAGAGAATGGATACTGTGGCGAATTTTATGGAAAGAGATGTGGAAGAGAATACAAATATCCATCTTCAAAGATGCCTACACCAAACGAAGAAGTTGCCAAATCTATCCTGTGAGGATTGAAGGTGAGAGGTCTCTAGAAGAAGAGGGGTCCCAAGGTAGAAAGAGGTGACAGTAGATCCTATAAGGGTGGGGGTACAGAATGAATAACATCGAATGGCCAGAACAGGGTACAAAAGTCTGTCCATGTCAGAATGATCATACATATGAGACATATGGAAGTGAGATTGAAGAAAAAGTGCAGGCACCTTCCTTAGAGGCAGAAGTCTTATGAAGAAAAGACTGGTCTGGATAGAGGAGAATATAAAAGATGAAAGAGAGTATGAGAGGAATCGATAGCATAGATTTCCGAATGATGACATTCACAGGTGAGGAGGAGGAAACAGGTCTTAAGAGAAATTTGATATAAAGAGCAAGAGGCCAAAGACTAGAAAGGGCCATGCATAAGAGCATACAATACTGTATAAAGTTCCCAGTCAAGTAAAGGAGTAGGGCGAGGGAGTTTCTGGATAAGAAATGATCAAAACAAGGTGGAGAGGATGGAGAGAAAGTTCAAGGTCTAAAAGCAAAGGATCCAGGAGCAGGTTCCTCTTGATAGTTGATGTACGACATGATCATGGAAATGTTGGAATGGACCATAATTAAATAATCCATTAGAAAGGGTAGGAAATGGGAATATGCCCAATGGATAGCAACGAGTTTGAGCTCATCGATGTAAAATGAGCACTCCTGTTGTGTCTAAATACCTGAGGTCAGGTCATGATTCAGAGATGCTCCCCTACCTAAGAGAGAAGCATTAGTGAAAATATGAAGGTCTGGTCTGGGGTAATAAGGAAATACAGGTGTGTTGGAACAGTCCAACCATCAAGACAGTTCCTCGAGACGAGGAGGAGGCATATGGACAATCGAGGACAATGGATCTCAGGAGAGATTCCATTGGTTGCAAAACTCTGCTAGAGGAGGCATGTGTATGTAAATCAGAGAAACAAGTGGTTTCAGAGAAGTCATGGTTCCCAAAAGAGAAAGGACATCTTGCACGGAATGTATGAGTACCTGCTGATGACAAAACCTTGTACATTTGCTGTTATGTTAAACTTATATTAAAGTTTTTCTTCATTACCCATTCAAGCCGTCTCCAGCCATTATTAAACAAAGTGTTTGTTTAGGTTATATATA